GATCTACAGTCCGAGAGATTGTTCGCCTTCATCGGGGTGCCGGTATCTAGTTATTTCGGATCGGGGTACGTAGTTTACCTCGCGCTTCTGGAGAGCAGTTCAGCAGGAGTTGGGCACCCAGGTTCAGTTGAGCACAGCGTTCCATCCTCAGACGGACGGCCAGTCCGAGAGGACTATTCAGATACTGGAGGATATGCCCCGAGCCTGTGTCATTGATTTTGGAGACTCGTGGGACCAGTATTTGCCTCTAGCAGAGTTCGCCTACAACAACAGCTACTAGTCCAGCATTCAGATGGCTCCATATGAGGCGTTGTATGGTAGGCGATGTCGGTCTCCTGTCGGATGGTTTGAGCCGGGAGAGGCTCGGTTATTGGGTACAGATTTAGTTCAGGAGGCCTTGGATAAGGTCAAGATCATTCAGGACAGGCTTCGTTCGGCTCAGTCGCGGCAAAAGAGTTATGCGGATCGTAAGGTTCGAGATGTAGCTTGCATGGTTGGTGAGCGGGTCTTGCTCCGAGTGTCGCCTATGAAGGGCGTGATGAGATTTGGGAAGAAGGGCAAGCTTAGCCCTAGGTTCATTGGCCCATTTGAGATCCTCGATCGTGTGGGAGAGGTGGCTTATAGACTTGCCTTGCCGCCCAGCTTGTCAGCCGTGCATCCAGTGTTTCATGTGTCCATGCTTCGGAGGTATCACGGCGATCCAGCCTACGTGTTAGATTTCAGCACTGTCCAGTTGGACAAGGATCTGTCTTACGAGGAGGAGCCGGTAGCTATTCTAGACCGGCAGGTTCGACAATTGAGGTCGAAGAGTTTTCCTTCAATGCGTGTCCAGTGGAGAGGTCAGCCTCCTGAGGCATCGACCTGGGAGTCCGAGTCTGATATGCGGAGCCGTTATCCTCATTTATTTCCCGACTCAGGTACTTCTTTCTTTTGTCCGTTCGAGGACGAACGGTTGTTTTAGAGGTGGAGGATGTGACGACCCAAAGGGTCATCACCTGTTTCCTCATTCATTCCGTGCTTCTGAGGCCTTGAACACCTCATTTTTACTTGCCTCGATTTGCATGCGCAGCCCGGGCACGTAGCCGGAAGGATTATATGTTAAAATTCTGTGATTTGGTCAACATTTTTGGTAAACGGACCCGGACCCGTGATTTGATGGTCCTGGAGGGTCCGTAGAAAAACATGGGACTCCGGCATGTGCCCGAAGTCGAAATCTGGGGTCTAGAACCCGAGTAAAAGAATTTTTCTGTGAAATTGATTTTTTGGAATTATTAAGGAAAATAGAAATAAAAATTGATTAAAAGACTATGATCGGGCTCGTATTTTGGTTCCGACGCCCGGTACAAGTCTTAAATATGTGTTAAGCGCTTTCTGTAAAGTTTGGTCGAAATCGGACGTCATTTGACGTGTTTCGGACCTAAATATCTAAAGTTGGAAGTTTAGGAAGTTATAATGAAAAATGATGAATTTGGGGCTTGATTCAATGATTTTGATGTTATTTTGGCGGCTTGATCGCTCGAGTAAGTTCGTAGGATGTTGTTGAGTTAGTGTGTGTGATTGGATAGGAGCCCCGAGGGCTCGGGAGTATTTTCGGAGGTGTTCGGGGTGTTTTTAAACTTAGAAAGACTTCAGATTTTTCTGCAATTTTTACACAGAAAGACCCTTCTTCGCGTTCGCAGTGTCGCCTTCGCGTTCGCATAGCCTTGCTCTCTCCCTCCTTCGCGTTCGCGTTCTGGCCATCGCGATCAAGAAGCTCTGCTGCTTCCTTCAACGCGTTCGCGTGTCTCCTATCACGTTCGCGTAGGCCTAGAACCCAGAAAAATTTCTCTACGCGTTCGCAGCCCCACTATCGCGAACGCGATGCTTCCAGTCCACCCGTCTTCGCGAACGCGACACCTTGGTCGCGAGCGCATAGAACAAAATCGCCCAGCTATAATTTTAAAATTTCAGAATCAGAACCTACAGGATTTATCCAATTTTCTCACGAGCTCTCTTCTCTCCCAAGCTTTAGGAAGCCATTAAAGCCCCCACTCTTCAAGACCACTTGGGTAAGTAATTCCCCACTCATTTCCTTCACTTTTCCTTCATTAATTAGCAAGTTTCTAAGCCTAAATCATGAAATCAAAGTAGAAATTAGGGGTTTTGGGTAGAGTTAGGATTTTGAGAATTTTGGGTGATTCAACCTCAATTTGGGGTCGAATCTTAAAACAAATTATATATTTGGACTCGTGGGGTTATGGGTGACTAGGTTTTGGTCCGAGCCTCGTGTTTGGACCATGTGGGCCCGGTGTCGAATTTTGGTATTTTTGGAAGAATGCTAGGAAATTCATATCTAGGCTATGGGATGTTGCCATTGAGTCTTTATTGATACTATTGAATTAATTATGCCTAGATATCATTGTTTCGGAGTCGGATTGTAGAGGAAAGGCGGTATTTGAGGATTGATTGTTATTCCTTGGACCGAGGTAAGTTTTGATCTAACTTTGGCTTGAGGGAATAGGATTAGAGTGTTATTATTTGCTAATTGCTAAATGAATCGAGTACGGTGTATAGGCATGGTGACGAGTATCTATACACCGGTGTCTAGCATGACCGTGGGTCCTTGTATGTACTTATCCTGATATTGTTATGACTCTTCCATGTTAATTGATGAATTCTATGCAATGTGAAGAGTATGAGGACTAATTATGAATTGTAAATTCTTAGGAGCGTTGGCTCGAATGATAAGAAGACAATTGAGTAAGAAATGAAAGAAATAGAAAGTGATATGAATAATCCCTTGCCGGGATGGTTTGAGTACATTGATTATCTCCCTTGCCGGGATGTGAGAGTATTGTTGTTGCTCCCTTGCCGGGATTTAGCTGATAATTGTGTAATTCCCTTGCCGGGACATTTCTTATTATTTGTTTATCCCCTCGCCCCGTTTGGTTATGATTACTGTTTGGGTGAGGAAGAGTGATAATGCCCGAAGGGTCATTCCGTGCCATGTTTTGATTATATTTGCACGAAGGGTCATTCCATGCCATGTTTTGATTATATTTTCACGAAAGGTCATTCCGTGCCATGTTTTGATTATATTTGCACGAAGGGTCATTTCGTGCCATGTTTTGATTATATTTGCACGAAGGATCATTCCGTGCCATGATATGAGAGTTACGTGAGGGAAAGCACGAAGGGTCATTCCGTGCACTTTATTTGATTGCTTTTGGTGAGAATGAGAGTAAAAGCACGAAGGTTGATGCCGTGCAACTGTTGATTTTCCTGCTCTCATTAATTATTGTTATTGCCCTGTTTTTTATTTAAATTGTTGACTTTATA